TTTGGATTTTGATCCAGCTTATCCACCACCCAAAAAATGGACAAAGATCATCCGAAAGAACAAGTACTTGGGAATCCACAAGATGGAGTTTTAACAAGAGCTCAACTTCGTGCAAAGAATGAGGTATTAAATACTCATCAAAAATTTTGCATGTTCAATGTTCATTTCGAAAATCGAACCAAAGACAATTAAGGATGCAATGGAACAATCTGATTTGGTTGTTTCAATGCAATCTGAATTGGCTGAGTTTGAACGAAATAAGGTTTGGAGATTAATTCCTAAAACTGAAAATATTTCGATTGTCCGGTTAAAATGGATTTTCAAAAATAAAACCGAAAAAATGGAAACATTATTCGAAACAAAGCCAAACTTGTTGTAAAAGGTTACTCGCAACAAGAGGGAATAGACTATGAAGAAACTTTCACCCATGTCGCAAGACTCGAGGCTGTTCGTATATTTCTGGCTTATGCAGCTCACAAAGATTTTGATGTATACCAAATGGATGTGAAGTGTGCATTTTTAAATGGAGAGCTCGAAGAAACAGTATATGTGGAACAACCCCCATGTTTTGTCAATAAAGATCATCCTGATTATTGTTATATTCTAGATAAGGCAGTTTATGGTTTAAAATGTGACAACCCAAAACTTTCCATTCTGTACAACAATCCACTTCAATAGAAGTCAAAACTGTTTCTACTAACTTTCAAGCTTGCTGGAGTAAGTTTAAGTGTTTTAAAGTTAGTGCTTCAAGAGATATCAGGAGAGAGCATACCCTAGGGTTTATTACGTAACAATAAGTGTCCAAAACTTCAAGAGTTGGAATTTACAATCCAAAAATGGTATTTGGACCAAAAAACCCCGAGACTATATAAGGAAAACTTAGCCATTTTAAATTCATTTGTGACATTTCCAACTAGAGAAAAACCGATTTCTCTCTCAAGGACCTTCACTCCGATCACCCCTAATTGTGAGTACTTCAACCTAGAGTGTATATAAGTGTGTTATATGCCTTAATAACATGAAAAATCAGGCCAAAACACCAAGGAAATAGTGTTCACGGCCCAAGATCTTCTTGGATCGTGAACACTAAATCTAGGGCCAAAGTGTGCCTAATGTCCCCCTAAACCTTGGAAACCAAACATGGAACAACCCTTGACATGTCTAGGCCTCAAAAACATTAAGATTCAAGGGTTAAAAGTGAGTTCACAGCCAAGGATGCTCTTGGGCCGTGAACTCCATTTTATGGTGCCAAAGTGCCCTAAATGCCTTCCTTAAGCCAAGAGACTAGTCTAGCACTTTACCATGATGTGTTTAGGACTCAAAGCAATCAAAATACCATCACCCATAGGTGATTACAGCCGCAAACACAAGCCAAAATGGTCCAAGGGTCGAAAACTCAAGTTAGGGGTGTTTTGATGCCACAAACACTTCCTAAGGCTTAGGCTTGAATTTAGGATGCTTCTTTATGAACTTTAGGACCCTCATTAACATAAATGACCATGAGTTTATGGTAGTAAACTCATTTGGGCCGTGAACTCCTCAAAAACTCCATAGAAGGTGGTATTTCTCATCCTAGGATAGAGCTAATGTCCCTAAATCACCTCCTAGCCTTCAAACTTGCACTAACCCATGAGTAACCATGAGTTTACGGCCGTAAACTCCCTTGGGCCGTGAAATCATGGTAGTAAACTCATGTGAGTGCCTTTATACCTTCCTATGTTGAATCACATGTGATTATAACACTTGGTCAAGGTCTTTCCTAGTCCCGGAAGGTGTTTTCTTTCATATAGTTGTTTATAAACACTATATTCATGTCAATATGTGTCCTTATATGTCATTTAGGACTTATTGTGTCTCGGGACTTCATTCGTGGAACTTCTCATCCTTACACTCATACCCGTTTGAATCACCCACATCAGGTGAGTTCATACCCCATAGTGAATCTTTTAACTATTATAAATGTTTTAAAGGGGGTAATACAGGTTGAACACAATGATAATTGTGTAAATGTTTGTTATTAAACATCTTTCAAAATGTTACTTATGTTAATTACGTTGTCAAAACATTTCAAAACTCGTTTAAAGTTATGTTACTTGATAGTTATACAAAACTCCGTTTTTAAAGTAAAAGCATAACTTAGTAGAGAAACGAGTCTTTTCAGTAATAGTCCAAGTAGAGCATTAGTAAACTATTATAGGTATAGTTTGGGAGAATGCTATCCATTACTTCTAGTACAATGAAGCACACAAAGAAATAATACCAGAACAGAACGAACAGTGAAGAGAATCAAACAATACCAGAATAGAACGAACAGTGAAGAGAATCAAACATTACTAGAACAAAACGAACAGTGAAGAGAATCAAACATTACCAAAACAGAACATAACAAATTAAGTTGCTATAGCATGAGAACAAACAGACATGATCTAATTATACCAATGAATCACTTCTACAGTAGTGATAGTTATATTGGGTATACATGATCATATAACTTTAATGTGGATTACACGGCTTGCATGGATTTGCTTGGGTCGCGTTGGGTTCCCTTAATCTCCTTTCATTGAGAGCGTTTAGTAGGGGTTCTAGCTTTCACATTATGACCGTAATAAGACAAATATATTTTTAGGTTATTAGTACATCCGCATGTCATTATAAACGACATCTATGTACTTACTTTTCCCATTACTTTCATAAAGTGACAATACCACTTGAAATTTGATCTATTTTCTAGTCAAGATAGTTATAAACTAGGGAGAATATAATTTACATTTGACAAAGGAACAGTCAGGTTTAACACAGAATAGAAGATGCCTTTGTAGAAGGCTACGATTTAAGGTTAGGATCATGATGCTAACTTTATGATTCCTTAATGTATACACTATAGGATACATATATGCTAAGTAGATCCCGACAGCTAATAGGATGTGTGCGCTTCGCTGTAAGTCATGTTCCCGTTGGATGTGGGCTTGCACCGAGGTCACCCAATCTATTATCTACCCAAATCTATATATATTTATACTTAGTATACATTAAGTCATCATAAGGGTACCAGGTATGGATCAGGTCATAGGACACAGAGTCAATGCACAGTTATTCTAGTACAAAACTTACTTTTCAAAGTCAGTACTTTTGATATACAAAACTAGCGATTTCCCAATTAAGGGCTTAATCCATTTTATTAAGCAGCACAGTTTTAAAGACTTTAAGTGAGTTAACTCTATAACACCTTAGTTTATACACCATGTGTATATATAAGACTAATATCCAATAGATAGTTAAATGTGTGTTTTCCCCCGACGTCCTGTTCCCATTGGATGTGGGCTTAGGGCAAATTCCCCCAATTAAATATCTACCCGATATCAAATTATATATAGCAGTATAAACAAAGTTATTATAAAAGTAATCACCGTAGTCAATGTTTTACTATAAGAAATATAGGTTTTCTTAAAAGAACTCTCCATTAGATATAAAGGAATCATTACAAATAACTCCATGAGTAACAAGTGAATACACCAAGGTTATATATGACAACGATATAATAACCAATGGAATGTGTGCTATCTGCCTTACTTGCGGTTCCCCGTTGGGTTGTGAGTTTAGGATAGATGCGCACAATCGATTGTTTATTTTGCTCTAGGTTTATATAACTTGTACCCACTTAGTACGCATAGAAAGGCTTATAGTGTCATTTTACTTAACTTCCATTAAAGTAGGAAATATAAGATTTTCTAGAGGAACAAACGAACTTTTCAAAACAGAACTTACAGTTTACATCACTTTTACATATACATTTTCCACATTTTACAGCTTACATCACTTTTGCAATAACATTGATTAAATGAAGTAAAGGCTCCGGTGTATAGAGAATACCTCACCGTTTAAGAAGTAACCATAGAAACGATGGAATCCACTATTTCTTTATCATTGCTATTTTTATTTATTTATTTTTAATACCTAGTCTAGTACAATTTCATATTTCGAGGCGAAACGCCTATAAGAAAGAAAAAATCGTGGTTGGGAAGGTTATATTAGCCAAAGCCGTTGGAATTTTTAGTTTATACATTGGAAAAATCCGTTTTATTATTAATATACTAGGAAAGGAGCAAAAGAATAACTGAAAGAAAGGAAATCTACTAGTTATTCATGAAAGTTTCATTTATTCAATGACCAGAATTAGACGGGGATATATCGCTCGGAGGAGACGTAGAACAAAAATTCGTTTATTTGTAGTTACAATCTAGTCCCTGTACTAATATTATCTTGTCTAATATTGCGTCAAGCTTTCGGGGGTCTCATTCAAGACTTACTCGAACTAGTACTCAACAAAAAATAAGAGCTTTAAGTGAAGAATTTATCAAAACCCTCTAATGTATACATCTATAACATTATAGCTATAATATATCTTGAAATTATTCAAGAAATTACACATTCCAATTCTCTTTGCATGCTAGAACTCATGTCTTTAAGGTTGTTATTATTTTTAGTTGCAACGAGCACAATCTTTATGTGTATAAGATCCAACAACTTACATCTTATTGGAGAATATAAGCGCATAACTAATTAGCAATCTCAACTTTGTTTATTGGTTAAATATGTTAATTGTTTTATTTTCATTTAACTGTATTTGTCTAACATGTTGCAGATATATATGTAACGTGCTAAAGAATGAGGCATTACCGGGCTAAAGAGTAAAGAAGCTATCAGGACTAATGCTGAAGAGAATTTTCATATGAAGGACTGAAAGTGTCAACGTTTTCTTCTTGTGGACTGCGCATCGTTTATAGGTATTCCAACCCGGGGGACAAAATGGTTCAACCCGGTAAATATAAAGTTCAAAGCAGAGCTAGTAGATAGCTCATTTGTTTTTTCGATCATTTGTGTGTGATACACAAATCTTCTCTAATTCTCTGAAATCTTGTGATTATATTGTTTAGTTTTGTTCGTCTGTAGTTCTTGAGGAGTTCTATTTTAAATTCAAAACGGATTTTGTTAAAAGGAATATGGGGTTATCTTCATCAAAACGGGTCGCCGGAAAACTACGAGATTCACCGGAATTCAGCTCAGCGTGCGAAACAGTCTACCAACAGTTTCTCTCTCTCGCCCAACAAGCTTTCCCGGGCATCCCCCGCTACCAACTCGTTTCAGCTTCCGACAGTCTCTACCAAACCCTTTCAGATCTGCACCTCCCTTTGATCGATAAATGGGTAACTTCGCCTCCCACCCGTTCCCAAATCGACAAAGCGATTCAAAAAGCCATCCCGGAGGATGGTGACGGAGATGAAATTGTCACGCTCGGGGAAGTAGAGTTCAAGGAGTTCGCTATGGATTTGTACTCAGACGCCATCGTTTCCAACGCCGGGAAGGCTATTCTACTGAAGGTGCCTGTCGGTGTTGCTGGGATTGTCGGAATTGGGGTTGCGACGCGGTCAGGGATGCAGGTGGTTGGGACGGTGATCGGAGTTTACGCCGTCGGTATTGCGACCTCGGTTTATCTCAGTTTGGGTGGTTAGCGTTTGTACCAAACAAAAGATTGTACAAAGATTTTTTTTATTTTTTTAATTATTTTGTTATTTTCTAAATAAAACCTGTTAACCCTTAATTTCCAACTAAAATAAGTTATATATCTGCTTTGTGCATAAAGTTTTTTATTTATTTATTTATTTATTTATTTATTTATTTTTATTATTATTTTTTTTTTTTAACATCGATTTGTTTTTTCTTGTATAAGCCATGGAAACAAGATCTCTACAGAAAAAAATGATAAAAATGAAATTATTACATCAAAAAATGTTTTTTTTTTTTTTTTTTTTTTTTTTTTTATGTAAACAGCAAAAATATGTTTATTAAATCAAAAAATGTTTTAAAATAAATTTTGATCATTATCAATTTAAGAAGTTTTGAAACAGTGACTTTGATTTAATTTCAACTAAACAATGTATATATACAAACAATTCTTTTGTCAGCAATCACCTCCACAGTATATAGATTCAGCTGATCTTAATAATTTTCCTTTTTTCTTTTAGATAAAATAATGTATGATAATCCCACCTCTCTACCTTGGTTATGTGAAATTTTCCTTGTACATAAAGGATATAGGGATACACATGCCCACAAAATTTTGAGGCCACGTGGATAGCTGTTAATTTGGATAGACTAATCAATTTATGATGCTTGATTAATTAATTATAATAGGCCTTAAATGACATTTAAATTAAGAAAAAATATTATGTATTTCATAGAAAATTTTATGTGCAAGACAAATCTCATAGGAATTGAAAGCCTCAAGAATCAAACCACATAAGGGAAGACGGAGTCGTTGTGGTTTCGGGGTACCATCGGGAAACAATTCCTTCAAATTGGGTTGAGGTGGTTTCATTGTATTATTGGGTTGGTGAACCCGTTAATATAGTTGGAAATTATGGGTTAACTTTATGCACAAAGTATTTCACATTAAAGTAAATGGCTACAAGGAATCTCTTTATTCTGAAAAGTATTTCACATTAAATTCATTCATAGAAGCATTTTAATATTCAATTGGGAGGTTCGGATCTGTCACGAGACCAACTCAAAATGGAAAGTCCTCCAAAAGAAATGTAACGCTTTCAATTGCATCTATAACCGTAAGATGAGCATTGTGGCTTGCGGGAGATCTAAGGCTGATGTTGTATAATCTTCACTAAGAGAGTATTGGATGACTATTAATCCGAAAGCTTTTTCTCATCAGCAAGCTTGGGAGTGGTTGAAAGACAACGCGAAATGGGCATTTGTTAAAAAAAGTTGGTGAAGACTCCCCGCCTTCTTCTTCAAAACGAACCAAAACATCTTCATCCAACTCCTACACAACATCATCTGATCCACAGTATCCTCTTGGATTCTCCCCCCAACAACAACAGTCGTTTAGTGTTGAAAACTCACTGCCTCAAAGAAAAAGAAAAAGAAAGAAAGCGGCATCGGTATCATCAACAGAAAATGAAATGTTTGATCTCGTCGAACAAATTGTTGGGCATCAAGACTGCAACCGAGACAGAGGCGGAACAGAGACAATGGTACCGGGAGCAAAAATTACGCGTTCTCAAAGCTAGTGAAGAACGGAAAGATCAATTTTTGGATCAGGAGATAGAGAACCAAGATATGAAGTATTTTCTCCGACCGCATGATCACTTGACTGGAGGTATTTTACGCACGGTGCTTGAAAGAAAACGAAAAATTGTAACTAAATATGGTTGGGACTTTGAGAACCCGTGAATGTCAAAATGTCAACATCATTTAACTGGAGAATCTTTCTCTTGATTATTATGTTTTTTATTTTTATATTTATTTTTCTTTTCTTTTTTATTAAGATTCTCTATATGTATCCTTTGTTTCATTATATATATATATATATATATATATATATATATATATATATATATATATATATGTTTGTTTGTTTTATTTTCTCTCTATCTTTTCTCTTTTTTCAAAATGAATCCAAATGCTCGAAAAATAGTAATGGAAGTTAACGATGATAGTTCATCATCTGATGATATGCTTATCAACAATAATTTGTTACATGTATTGTCTCGTATTGCACAACTTCTTCTTCAAATTCATGCTAGTTCAAGCAACATTCAAATGAGAAACACAATCCACATAGATCGTTTAGAGGCTAAACGATTGTTGATCCGACATTATTTTGCGGATGATTCAACCTATGGTCATGCACAATTCCGAAAAAGGTTCCGTAGAAGCAAAGGTTTGTTAATGAGACTTGTTGGTGACCTGGAGATGAATTATCCTTATTTTCAAACAACATGGTATGCAACAACTCAAAGAAGTTTCAGTGCGCTACAAAAATGCACATCATCAATACGTCAATTATCGAAGAGTTATAACCCAGACTCATTAGATGAGTATCTGAATATGTTAGCACTTCTCATGAAGCTCTTGAAAACTTTTGCTATGGTGTTGTCCAAATGTATAAAGCTAAATATTTACGCCGTCCAACATCCACTGACATTCAACTTTTGTATGAAGCACATGAAGCTAGACATGGATTTCCTGGAGTGCTTGGTAGCATTGATTGCACACATTGGAATTGGAGAAATTGTCCAACGGGATTGATAGTCAATACATGAAGGGTGACCATCAATATCCATCAATGGTACTAGAAGCAGTGACGTCATAAGATTTATGGTTTTGACATGCATTCTATGGTATAGCCGGTTCAAACAATGATTTAAACGTCCTCTATCAATCACCACTGTTTGATGAGAAATATCATGGAACAAGACCTGATTGTTCCTTTTATTTGAATGATGAACACTACCCGCATTCTTACTATCTTGCAGATTGAATATATCCATCATGGGTTGTATTTGTGAAGACATATCCATATCTAATAACGAAACAAGATACGATTCAAGGCGACACAAGAATCAGCAAGAAAGGACGTAGAACGTGCTTTTGGGGTCCTTAAAGGACGTTGGAACATATTAAAAATGCATGTACGGGCTATAACGGTGAAGAAAAGAAAAAATATAATGTATGCTTGTATTATACTACACAATATGATATTTAAAGATGAGGGTATTGTGATATCTCCTCTGTATCAACGCAACCCCGCCACCAACGAAGTTAATGATCAAGAAATAATACACGAATTGCGCAATGCTGAAACCCACCACCAACTTTGATCTGATCTTACCGATCATATTGAACATGTCTACATTCTCACTCTAGATAATAACTAGTTAATTTTAATTGTTGTTTTAGGATTTAAATTATGTTGTTTTTTTTAAGTGTATTTTTTTTAGTTATCGTGTATTTTTTATTTGTAGTATGATTTTTTAATTAAATGTTACTTTTAGTATTATTTTAGATTTTTTTTTTTGTTTTATATTAGCAAAAAAAATCAAATAAATGTTATGTTTTATTTTAATTTATATTTTCTGATTTAATTTAATAAAAAAGAATATTAAATGTTATTTCTAATATTATTTTAGAATTTTTATTTATTTTAAATTAGCAAAAAAAATGAAAAAAATGTTATGTTTTATTTTAATTTATATTTTCTAATTTAATTAAATAAAAAATGATATGAAAAGTGAGTTGAGTGGGTTGAGAATGGTTTCCATATGTTATGGATTGAGAAATATATAAGAGAGAGAAAATAAAAAAACTGATGTGGCAGCGGATTGAATGAGTTGGGAGTAACGACTCCCTCCTCCCTAAGAGAATTGTTACATACTATATGTATTTTTTGGATTTGAGTTTTGAAGAAATAGTTTTGGTTTAGACTCTTTATCATTTTAGTAAGTTCATTACAAATTGCTATGATTGTATTTGTTTATACGTTTTAAGGCTTTCTTAACCATATCACATCAAAACCTCTATAGATCAAAGGCTTCTAATCCATAGGTATTTGGTGTTCCGGCCGGTGTTGTTCTCATTCCTTGAGGTTGCGGGTTCAAATCCTGCAGTGGACATAGATCAAATTAAAAAGTAATTTATGATCAGATTAGATTTGCTGCTTCAAAAGAAAAAAAAAAATCAAAACATGTATAGCTTAATTAAAAATAATTCAGGTTTATTGCAAGAATATTAATTAAAGGTCATTTTTTGGTAATTGATTTTGTTGTATGTGTGGAAGAAACTTGCACCTTGTGCACTTATAATAGTATTACACATTAAATTTGGACTGTTTGGGTTAAACTATACTAGAGCTATGTGGGTTGGTTGTATTGGTGCAAGCATTTGATATTCGGAATCATTAATTAGCTTTATCACTTTTTTAATCTATATTGCTTAATATTGTGTTGCATAATTTTTTTATTAAGTTAAACTTTTCGTTATTGCTAAGCCTGTTAATGGATTGGTTATGAATAGTTGGTGGAAATTATTTTGGTATGACTTATTTTTAATTAACCATTAGATTTGGTATATATTTGAACATCAACCAAGTTAGTTTTGTTAGTTTCTTAAGTTTAAATATTGTTTAACGTAAATTTTTATTTGATTGAATCATTTAGTTTATGGATTCATATACTTTAGTTGGTTAATTAGTAATATAATGTTACCAAAATAACATCTATCGTACTAATCAATCCGGTCAAAAGTAACTTAAGATATTGTATGTAATTATTTATGCAGACTATGTCCGACCTAAAGCTTGACATAGTTTGGCCTAGTTATAACATGTCGATTAGGTCTCGAACGAATTATTTATGTGGATCATGTTCAACCTAGATACCGTTTCAGAAAATAATAATGTTCATGCCTTCTCTATTTGTATTTGCCATTCAAAAAAAGATTATAACCACTATTTACAGGAAACTCATTTTGTATCTTGATTTATGAGTAATTATATAACATATATATATATATATATATATATATATATATATATATATATATATATATATATATATATATATATATATTATGGAGTAGGGGTGTTCGTTGGGTCCGATTCAATTAAGTAAATCGAAATTGATTTCGGTTTTCAAAATATGAATCTGAATAGTCTAAA